CCCAGAAAATCGTACTTTTTGACACAAAAATCACACAAACCTGTAACAAATGAAACTAGAAATCGATCCCTCGTCCAAAATTGGCTGGATATAGACACATTTTCGTACGTATGTTGGCTATAATTCGCCTTTTAGAATTTTTAATTGAAAAAAAATGGCCAAATTTGAGGTGATTTTTGAATATTTGTTGCTCTATCCATGTCCAGAGGCACATTTCGAGTTGTGATATGGCGTTATATCGACAGCTAGGAACAAACTGAGTCGGATAGAGGTATTTTCAGATTGATTTATAGTGGACTGGATCACCATTTGGAATTTTTTTGAATATCCAGGCACTATATATCAAAAAAGTGCCGGAACAAAATTTTCATCTCTCCTCATGATCTTTCGATCCCGCACTATTAAATTTTGAATCCTTTTTTTTTGAAAATTGATCACCCCTAATGGGCAGTAGGTTGTTGTTTTTGTAATCCTGACTGCCCATAAACCCATTGCGATTTCCAATACTTGGCAATTAAATCCATCGGTCTGATATACTGAAACTAAGACTAGATATTCCAAGCTTCATCATGTATTCGGATATTTGAACCTTTGATCGCCCCAGATCAGATGGCAGTTGTCAATACTCAAAAATCGAAATTCCTTAAAATAATCCATGATGGGGATACCCGTTAATCGATTCTGATTGGCATCAAACTTTCTGAGGTTTCATTTTTTGGAGATAAAATCAGATTCTGAAAGTTTCATGTTGATCGCATTTGCAGAAGTTTGATTTTTCGTCCTCAAATTTTGTCGACATTTTCTTGGAAAAAATTGAGGGCCAAAAACCAAACTTTTGCAAATGCGATCAACATGAAACTTTCAGAATCTGATTTTATCTCCAAAAAATGAAACCTCAGAAAGTTTAAAGCCAATGAGAATCGGTTTACGGGTACCTCTCATACAAAATTGTCGAAATTTTAGTTAAAGTGACCGATTTTTCTCTTTTTTTTTATTATTATTTTTTTACTGCCTTTATTTCAAGAAAATTCACAAAAAATAACCAAAAGTAAATACGGACAACGCAGGCCAACGGTATGGAAAAGTTCGGGATTACCAATGTAATCCTTTTTATTGTTATTGAGCTTCATTTAGTGTCTGAATATGATTACACTATGCAACAACAACAGAGAAGGGAACTTATTTACAACGTTTTTTGGGCCCACTTAATCCAAATCTGGCGTTAGTTTGTCCTGGCACGTCTAGTTTTCAAGTTACGTTCATTGCTTTCCGTATCAGACTTGGATTAAGTGGGCCAAAAAACCTTGGAAATGAGTCTCCTCTTTTTGAGGGAAATTTTTCTTTAAAATTCGTCGCATAGTGTTAGTAGACCTCAATTCGTGAATTCCATAACTGGAAAATACCATAATTTTAAAAAAAATTAGGGAAGACCAAACGAATTCAAAGTATCTCTTCTCAAATTATCATTATACAACAGGTTAAAACTCTGTTTCGTTGCCAAATTAAAATGAATCTACTACACGGTTTGTTTTTGGTGCTATTTATCGTTGAATTCTCGGTGAGTTTTTTCTATTCCTTTGTCATTTTCAATTTTATCCAACAAAATGCGATGTTTCTGTAGAAATGAAAGTAAACACGAAATTTCTTTTTCTAGGAACTTCAAGGGAAACGTAAGACAAATTTGTGATTCCAAGAGAGTTTTCATTTTAAAATTTCAACTCTTTTCTCTAATGAACAGATGGCTTTTTCTCGCAAGCTCTTCTTAAGGGCGAAATGATTGAAAACATGTCACAGGCGAAGTTTGTGGCTGGAATCCGTGCCCCTGCAAGTAAGTCTGCTTTAGAATCATTTTCATTGTTTTTCGTGTGAATTTTTGTCCAAAAAATTCAAATATTCTATCAATTTTGCTAGGGGCTGACCACGCTTCAGAAAATTGAAAATAATGCTAGATTTTATAATTTAGTTCAAACAATATATTATTTACAACTGTGACATTTTTCGAACTTTCTCCAGAAACGATTCACTGCAAATGATAACTTTCAATTGTGCGTTGTCGGTTTTGTCAGAAAATTCTTCACATTGTGGTGGCCAAAAGTGTCGTTCATAGTGGATTATAGATTTAGTCAAATATTTGAGTCAACATACAGATGGTATTAAAACTGAATGATAGAAACAAATTTTGTAGATGAAGAATCCGCGGTTCCCCATAGCAATTTTGTGTGTGTCTTCATTTTTTCTTCAAATATTATTGCTTGTACTGAGAATGAAACGATTTTATTACAAAATATTTGCATGAATACAAAGACCATCGAAATGGTTCCAATAGAAAAATGGTAACTACATGTACCGCATTTATTCTGTCAAAAACGGAAATCATCACGAATGCCCATTGCGTGTATGACGCCCCATATGTTAATGTAGTAGCTGGTACGAAAGTTGTATCAGATGAAAAACAGAAAATCAAAGTCGAAAAAGAGAACATTGCATGGCACCCTCATTATAGTCATTCAGGATCAGTCGGTCCATTTGATATTGCCAAATTAACACTGGAAGAGCCGTTAGAATTCAGTGATACCGTTGGCAGTATCAAACTCGTGGACAAAGATTATAAATTGAATGATCCATCGGAAGTGGTCACTGTCTATGGATATGGCGTGTTGAACAACACCGGACCAAAGATATTGAGGCGTTGCGATGCGAACTATATATCTGACGTCAAACGGGCCATCATATTTAAACCAGTTCAGACTTTGTACTTTACCACTGGCGAAGCTACGAACGATGGCGAAATTATTACACCTGGCGATTCGGGTGGACCAGTCGTTTCAAAAACAAATGGCAAAATCGTGGGCATAACTACGGGTATAAATGGAACAACAGGTGGCCGCGGAATGTTCCTCCCAATTACGTCATTCCTTGGTTTTATCCATGATCCAAAGGTATCTAGTCTCAATGCCCCAATTTGCATTTCAATAACGCGAACAAAATGTATTGCTTCTATTTCAGAGCGTGAAACCACTTCCACCTTCGCTTACACCTAACGAAGCTAAATTTATGGCCGATATATCGGTACCGGGGAGTAAGTGTGCGAAAGAGGAGATTATTCATGATTCATAAATCAATACTCATCCTGAGATATTTTTCTATTACAGAATTTCTTACCGTTACCAAAGAAGCATATGCCGATGCCGACGAAGATGTTCAAATACAATTTAATGCAATCATTTTGTCGGAAACCGAGATTTTGACCTGTGCACATAATGTGCACGGCGCCCCATATGTCTATGTAATAGTAAATAAACTATCACGTAATCCGACAAAAATCAAAGTCACTGAAGACCAGATAGAAATTCATGAGAAATACGCAGTGTTCGGATCCGCATTTGACGTTGCCAAGATTACACTTAAAGAACCGTTGGAGTTCAGCGAGAACGTCGGCAGCATCGATTTGGTGGACAAATATTACAAAATGAATGACCCATCCGAAATGGTCACTGTCTATGGTGATATGGTATTGGGTGAAACAGAGAGAACGAGACGTTATGATACAAAGTATTTGAATAGTGCCATTTGCAAATCGAAATTGGGCGACCGATTTGATGCAAATCATTTGATGTGTTTTAATTCTGTTGAAAGTATGGGATATCTCTGTGCGTTTGGAGGACCAATGGTTTCGAAAAAGAATAACAAACTCGTGGGCATGACCATATTTCGTCCGCGTGGTAAGCCAGTTATTTTTCAACCGATTGCACCGTTGCTCGATTGGATCCGGAAGTCAAAGGTGGAACGTAATAAAAGAAGAAGAATATAGGCTTGAAAAAGGGGTTTCAGGCGCCTGAAAAAGCTGAATACCGTCTATTTTTTTGTTCCTGTCATTTAATAATCAACAAAAGAACCGAATAAATTTGAAAATTTGAGAAAAATGCATTTTAGTTTTCATTCGTTAGTTTCATCTGCACGTAAGTATGAGCGAGATGGCATGAGTTTTGAGTATCCCAGCAAATAGGTACTATGGAACTGGTGAAATGATGGCTCGGTTTTATTCACAGAGTTTTGGAGGCGATGAACACATTATTTTTGCCGAATTCTGCTCGGAAATGCAAGTTCTGGCCATGTGTAGATTTTACGATATAAATCAATGTATAATTGAAGCCGCGCCGCGCTCTGACCTCAGAGATTTTCATACAAAACTGCCACGTAGACGGTCGCAAACAACAGACAATACAATTCAACAGGCAAAAATCGAAAAAAAGTTCTGAAAAAACGATAACGCTACATCACGCATTGAACAAAAAAGTACCCTTAAAGTAAATTCTAGTCACTCTGAAATGAATTCATAACTTGAATATCAACCTACACACATAATATATACTGTGCACTCCAGCATCATTCCTTTGATGCGCATGCGCAGCGATTTTTTTTTCCATCTGAATAAATAAAAAAGTGGTGAGTTGGGCTAAAGCCGTTTTCGAAAATGGTTACTCGTATTTATCATGCGACATTTCGTTCTTGTTAGGAGTATCATGAGGCTGGAGAACAAAAGTGTACACAAAGAACAATGAGTGTGTGTTAAAACAATTAGCAACAGCCGAAAATAACTAAAGAGGTTTATGTTTTCAACGCATTCAAAGCTATCGAAAAACGATTAAAGAATAACAACCATTTTCTGGGTTATTTTGCCTTATTTCAACTTGACACGATTGTGACTTTTTTCAATAGATGGCGCTGTATGTGTCACATGTAAATTCCATAGATAATCTATGAAAAACTTTGAACTTTCATTGATTTTGGTTTTTTTTTTTCAATAGATGGACTTATAAATTTCACGTACAAATATCATGAAAAGTTCAAATAGGGCAAAGCTGGTAGTCATTCTTTGGACTTGAAGAAACTCGTTGCGGTCTGTACGGATGATGCGCCTGCAATAATTGGTGTTCATGGCAGTTTTGTCGCCTTGGTGAAAAAGTACGTTGCTGGGAGAATTGAGAATCATAAACTCGGTATGCAATGATTGCATCATTCATCAAGAAAATTTGTGCGCCGAAATCGTGGAAAATGATTGCTCTGTTTTGACTACAGTAACCAAAGTAAGTGAATAGCCGCAAATGGATTTTTATTTGTTGTCTCTTCTTTCTTATTTTTCGTACTGATAAATATTGTTTATTACAGATCATCAACAAAATTCGAGCCAGTGATCTACGTGTGCGACGTTTTAAATTACTCACGGATGAATTGGAATCCAAATTTTCGGGTGTCCTGTATTTCAACAGAATTCGTTGGCTCAGTTGTAGCCAAGTATTCAACCGCATTCTGCGATCTATTCCGTGAAATTCAACTGTTCATAGAAGGAGAAGAATAGGGAGAAGAATTCAGCGAGATAAAAACGTTTCAATGGGAACAACACCTTTACTTTCTATGTGACATTACAACGCACCTGAGTGACTTGAATTTGAAACTTCAAGGCAAAAACAAATTTGTTTGGGAGCTAGCCAAAGACATTCAAGAGTTCAAAATCATGTTAAATTCATTCAAAGACCAACTCAACGATAGCGATTATTATTTTTTTCCTAAGATTGATATATTTAGATAAACAATGATTTTAACGTGGACGGCCGATAAGTCCGTTTACAATGCATATATCTGCGTTGAATGTATAAGTAAATGTTGTGTGTGAGTCTCGAAAATATTAAAAAGGCGTTTGATTTTATTCAGTTAAAGGTCGAATCTATTTTTCATATAACAAAGAAAATACATTCCTTTCTGATTTCAATATGAATAGTTCAAGAAATTTCATTCAATCAAGATAGAAAGGAAGACAATGAAACATGTAGAAAAAACATATTTATTACACCAAAATTACATAAAATCGAGTGTATCACTGAAAAATAAGTAATCTTTTTTTTTAAATCTTGGATTTGTAATGAGTTTATTTACCCAAATTCCAAATTCCAAAATGCAGATCCTTCTAGAGACACGAATAAGGAATAAGCGGCAGCTTTCAACTATTCTCCACTTCCATTGGATTTCAACGGTCAACGTGTATCTAATGTAATGAGAACTAAATGCAAGTGGAGACGGTGTGTACAAAATAGTGTAGAAGAACTTTTTGAATGGTTAAGGTTCTTTAGCTGGGCCACAACATTCGCTCTCACCGTATCCTTATCACGCACGTTCAATTGTTCAATTTTTCAATTCGACTTGTAATTTGGCAAGTGAGTCTTCAATACTATGTAGATTGATGTCGATTTCTTCATCCATTAGTAAAGCATCTTCGTAGGTTGGAAGATCAAAATCTGTTGGAAACATGTAAAAATGATTATTATACAATAATTTATGATGATTGATCAGAATGTGTTTGAAAAGTTGCACTAACCATCGTCAGGGAATGGAGGTGGTGTGCTGGTGTATGTTCGAATCGATACGATATCATCATATGGAAATGCTGGAGATGATGGTTCCATTTGCACAGGTTCCGATGGTGAAATATCATGCGTGAGAGCAATAGATGGAGCACTGGGATTGGTACTTGTCTGAGGGAGGACGATCATGGGTGATATGCCGTAGCCAAATGGTATAGTTCCTATCGTAATCGGTAAATCAAGTGAAATATCAGCCTCTCTCTGGTTGAGATCTCCGGAGTCTCTAAAGCCTTTTATCTACAAAATTGTTGGAACAAATGATTAGTTCAGCTATTCGGCACTTGGTTCATTCCAACAAATATTCACACCTAAATTCTAGTATAGCAATCTAGTACATTATGTCACTTGTATGCAAGTTAATTCGTCACTGACTATAAACGCTCGGCAAATGCTACTAATTCTAATGTCACTTTTATTGTGGTAAATTTATATACTGAAATGGATATACTATTTCAGGTTATGTTTTCCAAAACAAAAGTGACATTAGAATTAGTAGCATTTGCTGTGTGTTTATAGTCAGTGACGAATTAACTTGCATACAAGTGACATAATGTACTAGATTGCTATACTAGAATTTAGGTGTGTTGGTTTGAAAAAAAAAACTGAAAACTTACGGCAATAAAGTAACTAATTTTGATGACTTTACACGTTTCAGTATCTGTTGGTGGAATCAACGCTGGTACTTCGATACTTTCAACAGGAAACACCTCATTCGTCTGACTTTCACATTTCCAATTGGGAAAACTCTGTTTTAGTACAGTTTCATACTTGATTTTATGATGAACACTGTACGCAGAGTTTTTGTAGATGGTTTTCTATGGATTAAAGTACATCATTTGCTGGTGATTCAACTGAAGGTGACAGCATAAATCTTACTTACTCTTATAAGAGAAACGACGAAATGCAGTAATGGAGAGGGAGATTCGTTGTTGATTGAAACCTGAATATGAATACTTTGACCCTGAACATATCCGCCGGCTGACAAATCAACTGATATAGCCCTTTTTCCCATTGGAATATGAGGGGACAACCAATTTGTATTTGTTTCAGGATATGACAATGGCGCCTGGCAAATAGAAAACATTTTCTGATGTTCATGTTCTAATGTTCAATTGAACTGCTGAGAATATTCTTTGGACGTGTTCCGACGCAGATGTTAATGTAAATCTTCAAAAAGTTGTACGCAAAAGTGACACTTCAAAATAATTTTTTCGTCGTTTCACAACAACTCTCGCTTTTTCGTACAAATTTTTCCAATTTCTACATTTAATTACGCATCGAAACACGTCCAACGTCTCAGCAGCTCATTTTATGTTGAGAATGTAAAAACTTACTCGTAATGCCGGATAATCATTCAAATTAAGTGTTTTGAAAACGGTAAATTTCTCTTCACATATCTTTTCCGATTTCAATTTAAGCCATATGGGTTTGTGAACAACAACATTCGCAGTGTAACTTATATCACCATGATCGCTTGAAAACGTTGATGGTAAATCACTGGGTAAGGTATATGCGAAACTGAAATCATGTGTACCCACCGGTAATACTTGATTTTTGCCTGTCAATAAAAGCGTTTTTTAATGAAAAAAAATTTGATTCATAATTTATCAAAAGCACGTTGAATCGCATTACCGTTTCTGCCTACTAAGCATTTTCTCATATCTAAGACACTCTCATCGGCTTCATAGTGTCCGGATTTACCATATGATGAAACGCACATGCAATCGTCTACAACAAATCGTACATGCGCCATTCCACGCAAACGAATGTAAATACAACGAACTTTTAACACCTCTGTCAATTTTAATCGCACTGTTATGTGTAATTTTCGACCAGAGTAAACAATCTTCTGTGGATTGTTCTCAAAATTTATTTGACACGTGATTGGCATTGTGAATTTCAACTTTTCTTGATTCCACCCTCTTGCGGTGCTAACTCCAAATGAAAATATTTTCTCTTATATGTTGTTTTTAGACAGAAAGTATTGATTTTCCACAAATCGGACTTGAGCTTTGGTACTTTTCTATCCTTGCACATACACTATTTATGAATCTTAAACCGCACTTTTAACTCAAATTAACAGCTCAAAAACAAAAATAACAATTGCAGCTGCTTTTTTATGATGTTTTAAGAACGTGACAATTTGGAAATACGCCTAATTTTCATACCGTCTGAATTTAAACTACTAAGGATTCGAGGGGAAATATGCTTGTGTTTCATTTGAAATGGAAAAACCCATCAACTTTGTGGCTCCAACAGCTGGTAATAACGCACTGTTCGCTAAGTATTTGTGTTTTCGTATCGATAAGAACGCATACAGCACCTCAAACACGTTACCTCTCCAATCCACATTCAAGTTAGCCTAGTTCAGATTTAGTTGGTATAAAGTTCAGTCACATTGTGACATTATTCAGAGATACAGATTTATTTTGTAGAGACAATTTAGAAATTGTGTGAGTTCTTTTTATATTTTTTTTTTCAGTTAGTCATACACACAGTCCGCAAATTTACTGTGTTTTCCTTTTTTCAAAACGAAGCTTATGACCACGCACGCAGGACCACAAGCAAATTTCCCCTCCATTTCTTATCAACACCTAGTTTCGATTGGTCTTGGTTGAAAGTCAGACGTGTTACTTTTATCCTTTTGATAAAAATCAGCAACAATTGTTTTTTTTTTAATTTTTCATTCCTTCCTCAAGTAATTTATAAATGATGTTCAACATGGTCAATCTTCGAAAAACAACAGCAATCGAAAAAATAACAACAGAATCAGATTTGGTGATGTGTATAAAAACAATGGTTAATGCGTAAAATACGTGGATGTTGTCAATAATACAGGATACATTTCATTTAATTCTTTCATTTGAAATAATCAGTGAGAGTGTGGAAACAAGAGGATAAATTGAACTATACAATGTCAACTACTTGTAAAATTAAATTTCATCCAGATAATTTGTTCTCCCCTGGTCAACAACTACATGTGACAGTGCAACTAAAGTTGACAGAAGAATTAAGAGTTCGTGGTATTTACATCCAATTGTGTGGAATAGCGCATGTGTGGTTTGATATTGATGATTCTGGCCGTGCCGGAGACTATGCAAACGATGAGGATGTTTTAGATGTGAGAAATTGTTTAGTGGATGGAAATGGTAACGGTGATTTTCACGTTTTTTTTTTTTGCTTGATAAATCGTTAACTTAGTAATATTAACGCTTTCATTGACAGGTGAAACTCGGCTATTGCCGATGGGAACACATGACTACAGTTTCACATGCATGTTACCCAGTGACTTACCATCATCATTTTCAAGTACTCATGGCCACATAAAATACTCTGCAAATGTAATCATTCGCATGCCATTATGGCCGGATAAGAAATTTGAAGAGAAATTCACCATTTACAGGAGGGTAGATTTGAACGATTATCCATTATTACGAGTAAATGTTCACATTCTTAACAACGAATGAACGTTTCATTCTATAAATTGTATTCCATTTACCAGTCAGGAGTTTCAAAGCACAGTTCCTGTATTTCGGCCCGTATACCAACCGGTGGATATGTTTCTAATCAAACTATTAATCTTCAAGTATCTGTACGTAATACATATCGTTCATTACACCATTTCGTTGTATATATCATGAGAGTAAGTACCATTTAAATTGCACACTTCCGTTGTTAAACCATGTGTAGCGTCGATAACTCAATCATTGATAATACTTTATAGAAAACCGTTTATCATCATATGTCGGCTCTGGGTGAAAAACGAAAAACTGAATTAGAAATGGAACTGAAACGGAGTGTGCCGATTTGGCAATGTGAACGATATACACATGAAACTTTTCCTGCTATAAAATTCAGTTTGCCAAAGATAATTCCACCAACAGATACTGAAACGAATAAATTCATTAAAATTAGTTACTTCATTTCGGTGAGTATAGCTATACTTTACCCCAATTTCCATTGTAAAAGAGTTGCAATGATTTGTTTGAACTATTTTATAGATAAAAGGCTTCAAAGATTCAAGAGAATACGACATGAGAAAAGCTGTTATATCACTTGACTTACCAATAACAATAGGAACTATACCATTTAACGATAGCACATCAGCCATGAGCATTCATTCTGGAACAAGAACCAATTCCAGTGCCCCACCAATTGCTGTAGTACATAATATTCGGCCATTGGAACCTCGGTTAATGGAATCTTCTCCAGCGTTTCCAGATGATGATATGGTATCGATTCGAACATATGCCAGTACACCACCTCCATTCCCTGATGATGGTTAGTGCAGCTTTTCATACTGATCAATCATCATAGATCATTGCATAAATATTATTTTCACACGTTTTCAACAGATTTCGATCTCCCAACTTACGAAGAGGCCATGCTAATGGATGATGAAATTAACATCAATATGCATTGTATTGATGATAGATTCACCCATGTTAAATCAACGAATGAACAACAACAGAAAATCTAACTGACTCATCATTTGTGTTCCATTTATTCGATTGACAGCTTTTAATTTTAAATGTTCTGTCATTCTTTCAGAATTAAGTTGCAAAATCGAAGAGAATTCTTTAGCAACCAGAATACTACCTCATTTATTGAAAAAAAAAAATACTCACTGTATTTCACTGCGTATGAGATGAATAAATACAAATTACTAAAAAAAAAACGGTTTAAATTGTTTTTATTGATTATCCATTTTTTATGAAAACCAAAATGTTTTGGCCAACTGTTGAATGGAAAATGCTTACTATCGTTGTATCTACATATATCCTGTGCTTGATTTGTGACGCAAACAACCAGAAACAACCGTAACATCCGTATGCGTGGTAAAGAGCTTTTTCCAGTACGTCATCCTTTTTCAATCGTAAGTATACGAGCACGCACGCATCGTCGCATGCACGTTTCCCCTCAAATTCGTTTCCATGTTTGGATTTCCAGTTTGGATTTGGATGGTATGAAACTCAGGTGTGTTGCCACGCTCTTATTTTACTAAAAAAAAAAGAACTTCATTCATTGAATCATTTTTATATTTTTTTAACTCCACGCAGGAATGTGGTTTGAGTTCAAATTCATTGTGAGTGTACAACAATAGATGAACAACAGAGTTTGAATCAGTTTTGTGGAAAAACGATAATTTCTGCAAACCGAATACGTTTTATTCAAATCTTTTATTTAAAGTAGTTAGTAGTAGTTTGAAAAATAATAAGGAAGAAGAAGAAGAAGAAGTAGTTGAAATTCGCAATGCCAACCACTTGTAAAATTAATTTTGAGAACAATCCACAGAAGATTTTTTTGTCTGGTCAGAAGCTACATATCACAGTGCGATTGAAATTGACAGAAGAAGTGAAAGTTCGTGGTGTTTACATTCACTTGCGTGGAATGACGCACGCGCGTTTCATCATGGATGACTTTCGCCGAGCCGGACACTATGCAACCGATGAGGATGTCTTGGATATGAAAAAGTGTTTAGTAGATGGAAATGGTAATGGTGATTCACATGATATTTAATGTGCTTTTGATAAATCGCAAAACAAATTGTGTCTTTATAAACGCTTTTATCGGCAGGTGAAAATCAAGTATTGCCTGTGGGAACGCATGATTATAGTTTCGCATGTACCTTACCCAATGACTTACCGTCATCGTTTACTAGCAATCTTGGTTACATAAAATACTCTGCGAACGTAGTTCTTCGGATACCATTTTGGCCAGATAAGAAATTCGAAGAGAAATTCACCGTCTTCAAGACAGTCAATTTGAATGATTATCCTTCGTTACGAGTAAGTGTTCACATTCTTGAAAAAGAAAAGAAATTTTACGCTATAAATTTTATAGTATAAAATATTGTTCATTTATCAGGATGAAGTATCAAGCCAAAAAACAGAAAGGAGCTGGCTAATTGGCGGAGGACAATATTATTCACCGGGAATAATTAGTATTTCAGGTCGTATTCCAGCCGGTGGATACACTCATGGTCAGCTTATTAATGTTCAAGTTTCAGTTAGTAATGAAACTTTCTATCCGATACAATATTTTCTCTTATATATTCTGAGAGTAAGTAACATGTAGTTTAGTACACTTCAAGCACGGTAAACTGATTGTTTTCAATATTTTATAGCAAACGACTTATCATCATATGTCAACGTACAGTGAAAATCAAAGAACCAAACTCAATATTGTACAAAAGCGGACTATGGCCAATTGGAAATGTGAACAGAATAAATATAAAAGTTTTCCAGCTGAAAGTATTCAAGTACCAGCGATGATCCCACCAACAAATGAGACAAGCAAAATCATCAAAACTAGATATTTGGTTTCGGTAAGTGCAACATCCTTCCCCAATCTCGTTTGTAGAAAATTCTTTTGATTGGTTTTGTAGATAAGAGCCATGTTCAATACCCGTTGTGGTTGTATTGGTATGCTTGATTTACCAATAACGATAGGAACTATACCGTTTGGAGGTAGTACATCAACCATGATCACCTCCCCTCAGACAAGAACCGTTTCTAGTGCTCCCTCTATTGCTATAGCACATGATATTTCGCCATCGGAATCTTTGGCTTCAGCATTTCCAGACGATGACACAGTATCGATTCGAACTTATACCAGCACACCACCTCCATTCCCCGACGATGGTTAGTGCAGCTTTTTATACACATTCTGATCAATCGTCATAAATCATTGCATAAATATTATTTATACATGTTTCCAGCAGATTTTGATCTCCCAACCTACGAAGATGCTTTACTAATGGATGAAGAAATCGACCTCAATCTGCAGAGTATTGGAGACTCATTTGCCCAACTGCATGTCAAATCAACGAAAAAATAACAGGAGAAAATCTAAAGATTTCACCCACTGTGTTCGGCTTTACATTTCAAACGTTTCGTCGTACGATTAGATTTAAGTAAGAAAATCGAAGAGACTTTTTCTGTTAACCAATATGATACCTCATCTATTAAAAAACATTTACAGTATTTTATTGCGTTAGAGATGAATAAATGTAATGTATTGAAAAACGGTTGAAATGGTTTTCATTGATCATTCATTTTTATTAAAACCAAAATGTTCTGACCAAATGTTGAACGCAAAATGTTCACTATCGCTTTATCACAATTTTGATTTGTGACACAAATGATAGAATCCGTACGCATGGTAGAAAGCTTTTCCAGTGTGTTTTCCTATCGCAAATAAAATCATATGAGCACGCAGCACCGCATACACGTTGCCCCTTAAATTCGTTTCCGTGTTCAGGCCTAGTTCAAATTTAGATGGTATGGAACTCAGGCGTGTTGCCACTTTCTTCTTTTATTAAAAATCGAATTTCAATTATTTATTCATTTTTTTTATTTTTCAAATCCATGTAGAAATGTGGTTTGAGTTCAAATTCATTGAGAGTGTACTGCAATAGACGAGCAACAGAGTTTATTTGGATCTGTGGAAAAGCGATAATTGCTGCGTGAAAACAATAAGAACAGAATACATCTTATTCAAATCTTTGATTTAAAGTAGTAATAGTTCGAGAATTAGTGTGGAAGAAGAAGAAGTTGAAATTCGCAATGCCAACCACTTGTAAAATTAACTTTGAGAACAATCCACAAAAAATCTTTTTCTCTGGTCAGAAGCTTCACATCACAGTGCGATTGAAATTGACAGAAGAAGTGAAAGTTCGTGGTGTTTACATTCACTTGCGTGGAATGACGCACGCGTGTTTTACCATGGATGATTTTCGCCAAGCCGGACACTATGGGACCAATGAGGATGTTTTAGATATGAGAAAGTGCTTAGTTGATGGAAATGGTAATGGTGATTCACATGATGTTTAATGTGCTTTTGATACATCATATTTGGATAGAATATGTTAATATAACCCTTTTCATTGACAGGTGAAAATCAAGTATTGCCGGTGGGA